TGAATGCAGTTTGGCCCGTGGCAAGTGTCTGTCGATTTACAACTCAACTTGTTCTTGGGTATTGGTTGCAAGTCCAACCTTCTCAAGTCTGGAGTTGTCTGTCTTGGGAATCACAGCTTCTCCTTGTTCTTGATTTGCTCAAAGAAATATGCCTTCCCCGGAAGCTTACCATGCCTGTTTTTTGTTGTTGTTGCTTAACAGTTTTATTGATGTATTCACACATCGTTCAGTTCAACAGTTCAGTCATATAAAAAGAGTTGTACAATTATCACCACAATCAATTTTAAAACATTTTCTTCTTACTTGCACTCTGTTTTCCCCCAACCTCACCTGCCATACCCCCAAGAAACCATTAGTCCAGTTACTGTCTCTATAGATTTACCCATACTGGATGTCATATACTGAAAAACATACCAAAATAACAGCAACAACAACAACAACAAAACCTAACAATAATATCAAAACCTCAATTGAAAATAAAGTAGAAAGAATTAAAAAGTAGAAAAACCGGAGCAAAAAAGAGATCAAATAATAAAGTGTTAACTTTTAACCTAAATGCATCTGCAATCATCAACTTTCCAATTCACTCTGCATGATAACAAGGCTCTTCACATCCCTGTCTGTGCTCAGAGAGGGTTCCCCAGAGACTTTATTCATGTGTATTTCCCCTTCACTTAAAACAAAACAAAGCTGAAACAATTTTAAAATGGGTCAAAAGGGAGATCCACTCATCTATTACATTATAACCTAACTGCACCTGCCGTACTGGACTTTACAATGTTCTCCGCCTGGTAACAAAGCTATTCACCTCCCTGGACTGTGGTCAGAGGGAATTCACTGCAGAGTTAATCCATGTATGGACCCTGCAGCAAATGGATTTTGGGCTTCTACTGTCATCTATAGCCTTCTTCAAACCAGGTGTTCACAATTTAAGTGCTGGTATCATTCCTTTCTTTGCATGCGGATTTTATTATTTACAATCCTTGGTGCACACTTGGTTGATGCCACATTTAGATGGAAGCTTGTTTTTGTTTTTTTTTAAATCATTTTATCAGGGGCTCATACAACTTTTATCACAATCCATACATACATCCATTGTGTAAAATGCATTTGTACATTCATTGCCATCATCATTCTCAAAATATTTCCTCTCCACTTAAGCCCCCAGCATTAGGTCCTCATTTTTCCCCTCCCACCCCGCTCGCCCCTCCCTCATGAGCCCTTGATAATTTATAAATTGTTATTTTGTCATATCTTGCCCTGTCCGGTGTCTCCCTTCACCCACTTTTCTGTTGTCCGTCCCCCAGGGAGGAGGTCACATATAGTTCCTTATAATTGGTTCCTCCTTTCTAACCCATTCTCCCTCTTCCCTCCCAGTATCACCGCTCACACCACTGGTCCTGTAGGGATCGGAAGCTTGTTTTAAGACAAGCCTCTAATGGACAGTATTTGCTCTGCTAGCCGAGAACCATCTAGTTTTTTCACCACACTTTGCTCTAGCACTCAGATCTTCAGTGATCTCTTCATGAAGCAGAGCATCAAGCGGGGCCATATCATAGGAACTAATTGTTCTTTGATTGGGGCTAGAATGAAGTGCATGTCCCAAATCTATTCATCTATCTAACCTATGTCTGTTCTTAGAAAGAGAAGCCCTTTCCTAAACAAAAGTGGTAGTTTTAGAGACAGGCATTTCAGTTCCTAATTGTTGGACTATTAACCTTAAGGTCAAACCTGCAGTTCAAACCCACTTGCAGTTCCTTGGGAGAAAGATGATACCCTTTGCTCACATAAAGATTTATGGTCTTGTAAATGCTATATAGGTTTGTGATTAGTTGGACATAATTAAATGGCAATGTGTTTAGTGGTTTTTTCTTAATTGTACCAGTACAATCAAAAGCTTTCTCAGCTTACAAATTACCGTGTATACTCATGTATACGCCGACCCGAATATCAGCCGAGGCACCTAATTACCACAAAAACTGCACAAAAATGTGCTGAGAAACTCAGATTATACATGAGTATATACGGTACCGCTCATCCTTGTTTCACCACTGATAGCATTGGTACATCTCGAATCTGCAAGTCTTGCTAAACCAGTTGCTATAGAGTAAGTTCCATATCCTCCTTTGAGGGTTGTTAATGCAAGCTATATATCTTTAAAATATGGCAGAAGATTACTTCTTTCTACTAAGAAAGGTCAAAAGGAGAGGAAAGTCTGGAATCATTTCTATGTACATTTCTAATGACTTCACTTGAGGATAATGGGAAGACAAGGATAGAGAAAATAATTAGGCTATGGAGGCTGCTGAGGGGGTTCACAGTAAGATCTGGGCACAATTGAGACTGGCAAGGGGAGCCCCTTACTGGCCTTGGCAGTATACTTTTCAGAGAAGCATTCGTCCAGCTCTGCTGTGGAGATTAAGAAAAGGACTCTCAAGGCATCGCCATCTCAGACTCTAAGTATTGGACCAGGATGGATCCATGAAGCAGGAACTAACATTGCTGTGTCATAAAAGGAAGAAGACTTTGAACATTGGATGGAGAACTAGACATAGAACGTTTAAAGTCTCCTTTACCTGCATATTAGCTTCAACAAAACAAGATATATCTCAAGCATCTGAATGGAACTTTGAGGATGGGAATACAGAAAGACTCTCAGGACAAAAGAGATGATGACTGACTCGACTGGAGAGTTTACATCAATACCAACTGAAACCTCAAAGAAAACCAAACTCACTGCCATTGAGGCAAGCCTAGCCCATAGTGATCCTATAGGAGGAGGAGAAATTCTCCCTAGGGCTTTTGAAACTGTAAATCTTTATGGGAACAAACAGCCTCATCTTTCTCATAGGAAGCAGCTGGTAGATTTGAACTTGTCCTTGAGGTTATCAGTCAGTGCAACACCTAACCCACAATACCATTAAAAAATGGCCTTAATCCTAACTTAAGATACAAAAAGTCATTGGTATTCATTTTCTTTTTAAACTTAATATGATTATTGTGATTTGATTGAACATTTACGAACCATTTTTACTCAACAATTTGTATACGTTTTGATTCATGGCATTGATTGTAATCCCTGTGTAATAGCACTCTTCCCACTTGCTCCCTGGGGTTTACCACGCCCCTTTTTTAATTTCCTATTCCTTCCTGGTCTCTGGGTAAATGTAATCCTTTCAATCTCACAAGTGTGTCTGTCCCTGGGGGTGGTATTCACATTATAGCTCTGTCTGTCATTGGCTGAAAGGTCAGCCATGGGGATGAGTTTAGTCCTAGGCTCGAAGGTATCTAAGGACCATAATGTTGGATATTCCACCAATCTATCAGACCTGGAAGCCATTTTTAAATCAAGCATTATTTTCAGTTTCATGCCATGTTTTTCAACCACTCTCTCCTGGATTTTCTCATGTGATGCACTATCTAGTTCTTCTGATGGTGAAGGATCAGTGAAGGATGGTGTTCATGTAGTCGATTAGTCGATTAGTCCTTTGAGAATAATTGTTTCCATTAGTCTGATTTTCTTCACTCACCTTTGCTCTGGACAGAGAGAGACCACTAACTAGTTGCATCTTAGACGGCCACTTAACAAGCTTTTCAGACCCCATCGCTACTCACCAAAATAGGAAGCAGGAAATTGTCTTTGTGGACTATGGTATACCAATTATTTTTCTCTTTCGTCTTGTTAGTAAGCATGCCACATAAAAACCTGACAGCTTTCAGAGTTTTACTTCAGTATCTTGTAAGGTCTTAAATTTTGCGCATGCAAATTCTACCACAACTGAATTTTCAAAAACCTTCCCCTTGAGATTGTGGTGTACTGAAACTCATTTGGAAAATAAATAAATAGGCAGCCTCTCCAGTGGGTGTTATGATTTTTGCCTAAACATCCCCTACGGCAATTCTTGAGTAGAATTATTTCCCCATCTATAAATGGTACCTTTTCACATTCCTCTCACACCCTCCAATGACATTCTCCCCTCTTCCACAGCCTCACTTCCTTTGCCGTTTGGTCAGGTTTGTTAAGTTTGTTAACACTGTCCAGCCCCACAGCTAGGAATGTTCTGTACACTTGCCACAAACTATCCCAAATAGCAAAGGTCTTAGTTATTGGAAGTTACTGCAGTGAATCAACTAAAGGTATTTTTCTGCTGAGTCTTAATGTAGTTTTTCTTTGACAAATCAAACCATCCAACATCCAGTGGACTCCTTTTTGTTTTGTCTTTTGTTTTTCTCATGAGCCCTTCAGGCATCCTTATGCCGTCTCTAAGAATGCCAGGTAGAATGTGGAGTCGCATTGGGCAGTTGATCACGGTGTGGTGGCATCACCATAAAGCAGAGCACATAGGAGCTTTGGAGGGTTCTCGGTAGCCTTTGAAGAGAAGGAAGGGTCTGGTGGGTCTTGTGTGTGGAGCCCCGAGTGGTTTGAAAGTTCCCTTCACAGCAACCCTTCATCTTTCAGGGAGTTCACTTCTTTCTGTGTGCCCTTCCTTCCTTTGCTACTCATTTCCCTTGAATTTTGAAGAAAGCAAACCTGACTTGGCTGCTATGGTGCTGAAAAGATTCAGGAGCAGCTGTTTTGAAAATAAATGAAAAGAAGTAAATGTTTGGATACATGATCTAGTCCTTGCGGTCCTTTCTGTCACTAGATTGCACAGGCCCCTGAAGTGAGTACTCTGGACTCGCCACTCTTTGCTGCCCAATAACTTACAGTCACGTGTCGCAGCTCCCACTGGAGGGACGGCTGGCTTGTTTACGTATTATTTATTTTTCAAGTATTTTCCTTCCTTCCATTCTTTTCCTTTCTTTTCTTGTGGTTAAGGACTAAGAGGATTCCATGGCAGGCGTACTGGTAGAATTATTTTTCTGCTTCTGCATAAAGTAGTGGTCAGGATATTTTAAGCATATATATAATATATACTGTGGCAAGCTCTGAGTCCTACAGAAGGAAAGAGAAAGACACTATAAAAAATAGAGCCCCGCCCCCTTTTTCCTTCTTTCAGGAAACCTTTGAGAAGGCAAGCTTGAGCAGCAGCAGCAGCGGAGCAGCCAGCCTGAGGAGCGAGCTTTCCGAAAGCGCAGACCTGCCCCCCGAAGGCTTCCAGCCCCCCTGTGGGACAGACGAAGACAGGGCCTGTGAGGAAATGCTGTCGGATGCTAACTTCAACTTGGACAACCTTGAGAAAGGTACTCCTCGTGAAAAGCTGTTGGCCTTGAGGACACCCGAGGCCCTGCCTTGCTTCAAGATTCACTCATTCTCCCTCTCGTTTACACGCATGTGCAGACATCTGTTCCGAGTTGGAGGATGAGCTGGACGTGTCGGATAACTCCAGCAGCTCCAGTTCGAGCCCCCTGAAAGAGTCGACGTTCAGTAAGCTTTCCTCTCTAGTTTGTCATGTGGGGGACCTCAGCAGGTTGTATTTTGAGAAGGAGACTTGTGTCAAGGAAAAAAAAAATGTGATCAGTGGTTTATGTACAGGTGCAGTACTAATTAGGGCAGCAGGTATGTGGATCAGGTGTGTGTGCGAGCATGGATGCTACTAGCCCAGAACCCTAAGGCCAACTGATGCCCATTTCCGTTGCCCTGCTGTAAAATCAGTAGTTTTGTTGTTTCTATCAGCAAATGCAGGGTGTAAATATGCTAACTATTTAGAGACAGCCTAAAAAAATTAAGGAGTCTGTTGATTAAGATTAAAAGTCTGGAGAATAAGTTAGCCTTGGTAAGACTAGTTTTGGTAGCATTTCATGTACATAATGTAAAGGGATGTCTTGTATTTAAGACCTTACAATGAAAGAAATTGTTTAATTTTCAGAATCGTGAAAATAATATGATACCTAAATCCAGTCCATGTGCTAATCCTGACTCAAAATGAAATAGTAAAGAAAACAGTCACACTATTTTAGTATATGGGAAAACAGGAAAAATAGAGATATAGATAAATTTAAATATTGTCTGGAAAACGGACTCAGGAGCACTCACCAAATCTGAAATAGAAATTGGGAAGAAAAGAATAATTTCTAAAGGAGTATGTGATGCAATATTTCAAAAAGATAGAAATACTCTGAAATGAGCGAAGTGTAAATAATTCCTTTCACTAAATGAATATACTACAAAAATCTCATTAAAAAGGGTTTAAAATAGTATCTCTAAGGATTACATATGACCCAAAGGCCTCAAATACTCTCTTTGTCCCTTTCAAAAATTAATTGGTCCATCAAAATGGTGACTAGAGATTCAAGATTTTCTGGGTCAACCCCAATTTCCAACACTGTCCTATTTTCCCTCTAAATACCAGCTTTCTAGAGAAAGTATCGTGATTTGTGATTATGAAAACATGAATATTTTACAGGAAAAATATTTATGCATTTTCGGGAAGCAGTTCACCACTGATTGTGTCGAGGTGAATGAATGAATGTGGAGTTGTATATCCCTCGTACCAAGGGAGGGAACCAGTCCAGTGTGGGAGGGGGAAGGTAGAAACTGGACCCTCAATGTGCAGGGGGTAACTTGCAGCTACCTAAGCAAAGGGTTTAAGATGACGATGACTTAAGTATTTTACTGTACTTTGTTAGTTATTAATAAAGGAGATTTTTTTGTCTAGCGCTTTTTCTTTGGAAAAAAGGCTTTTAAACAAATCTGTCACTTTGTAACATATTTTCAACTGATATGTTCATTAACCCAAACTATCTTTACAATATGTAAAAAAAAGTATCAAATAGCTAACAGAATTGCAGTATTTTGTTTAAAAGACAAAGAGAAAGAAAGAAAATATTTGCATGGGGAAAAATCTCATTATTTCTGTTTGTTTTGTTGTTCCAGCCATTTTAAAGAGAAGTTTTAGTGCTTCCGTGGGAGAAAGGCAGTGCCAAACAAGGTATGGTCGATTTAGCTTTCTTTGCAGAGCTGGGCCCTTGGTGTTGAAATGGCAAACTGACAGCCAGAAGTTACCCTGAGCATGTGGTCACAGAGGCTGTTAGAGCCAGTCCTCTCAGAACTGATTACAGTGCACAATGCAGCATATTGGAAAGAATCCTGAGGCTGGACCTGAGTCCAGTGCTGTGTTTTTCCAACTTTACGGCTTGGCGAGGCAGCCTCTCTGAGTTCAAGAGCAAACCGAGAAGGTGGGGAAGTTTTGCTCCATGAGCTCTGGGACCCATCTCTTTCTTTCATTTTCTTCCATATCCCTGGAGTATTATTCTGATTCACACCCTTGCCAATGGGAGTTGGAAAGGGGAAGTGGAGGCACAGCCTTCCCTTTTAAAGATAGGACCTAGATTGTTGTACTTAGCATCTTTTCTCACATACTATTGGCCAGAATGTAATTATATGGCCTATGTGGAACACGTTTGTCGGCTTGTATTTTTAAAGGAGCCCTGGTAACGTAGTGATTAAAGTGCTTGGCTTCTAACTGAAAGGTCCACATTCCAAAATCACTGGCCACTCCGTAGGAGAGAGATGTGGCAGTCTGCTTCAGTGAAGACGCCCACTTTAAAACCCTCTGGAGAAGGGCTGCGCTGTCCTAGAGTCACTGCACGTTGGCTTTGACATGATAGGAACAGGCGTGGGTGTTTTCTGTTGTTGTGTGTTTGCTTGTTTTAAAAGGAAGGCTACATTGTTATTTTAGGACAGCGAGGAGGTTTTGTCTTGTTTTGTCTTTGCCATCACTTCTCTGTCACTTTGTTGTGGAGGTCGTGTGTGGCTGTGATGTTGGCAGTGGCATCTCTGGTATTTCAGATACCAGCAGGGTCCCCTCAAGTGAACACATTTCAGGGGAACTTCCTATCGAAATGGAATATTCTGTCCACTTCTCAGGGATTAGCCCCTCAAAATCTTATGGACAGCAGTGTAACCTTGCCAGATAGACTGGAAACCTTGAGAATGACAGTGGATTGTCAGATGGAGTGCTAGAAGATGTGACCCTCAGATGGGAAGGCACTCAAAATATGATGGAAGACAAGCTGCCTGCTCAAAGTAGAGCTGACCCTAATGAGGTGGATAGAGTACGGCTTGAAGGACCTTTATTTGTTGATGGGGAAAGACTCAAAAATGAGAACAGACTGCAAATATTCCATAAATAATTGGAAAATGGAGCATATGAAGTGTGAATCTACAAAAACTGGAAGCACATACTCAACATTGACCAAGTTGAAAGAACTCACAAAAAATTCAAGCCACTAGTTGAAATAGTGAAGGATTCTATGGCCAAAATATTGAACTATGCAGGAAGCATCAAAAGGATATGGAGTCACTGTATCAAAAAGAACTGGTCAACATTCAACTATTTCAAGAGAAAGCACATGAGCAAAATACAATGGTATGAAAGGAAGAAGTCAACCAGCATTGAAGGCTTTAGTGGAAAAAAACAAGGCTCCAGAAATTGTTGGAATATCAAGGGAAATGTTTCAACAAGCTGATAAAGCACTGGAAGCATTTACTTGTCTATACCAAGAAATTTAGATAATTGCTACCTGGCCAATCAACTGGAAGAGTCATATCTTGTGCAAATTCCAAAAAGGTGACGCCACAGAATGAAAAAATTAGTATGCAATATTGTAATATCACACGGAAGTAAACTTTTGCCGAAGATGACTCAACAAGGAATGCAGAAGTACCTTGACAAAGAGCTACCAAAGCTTCTGGTCAGATTCAGAAGAGGATGTGGAACAAGCAACACCATCACTGATGTTAGATGGACCTTGGCTGAAAGAAAAAGGTACCAGAAATATGTTTACTTATGTTTTATTTTCTATGCAAAAGCATTTAACCGTGTGCGTCATAACAAATTATGGATAGCGTTGAGAACCATGGGAATTTCAGAACCCTATGTGTTCCTGCAGAACCTGTACAGGGACGCTGCAGAGTTTACAAATCAAGAAATGTGGATGTCCTTTCAGTACACTTACTCATTCTTTATACCAAGTAACTAGTCTGAGAAGCTGGACTATAGGGACTGGAACATGGCAGTAGGATTTTAGGAAGGCTGTTTCACTTTTGGTATGCAACTGACAACCTGGCTTGCTGAAATCAAGGACCATGTGTAGCACTTGGTGTTGGAGATCAAGGGCTGCAGACTGAAGTTTGGATTGCAACTCAGTGTCAAGAACCAGAATCCTCACAACCAGACCAAAAGGCAATATCATGATAAATGGAGAAAAAGAAAAGGAATAAAAGCGACAAAACCAAGAAAACATTAAAAGAGTGCTTGCAGCAAGTCTTTCTTTCAGTAAGAGCTCCACCTGTCAATTACCCAGGTGTGGCAGGTACCAGACTCTGTCTGCTTGGGAAGAGGTGAGTCTGATTGCCACTAGTGTGTGGGAAGGAGCCCAAGTGAATCAGAAAGGTGTGGAATGGCAGGAGGGATTGTTCCTGGTCACTAGATTGAGGCAGGTGAAGTGTCACTTCACCCCTAGTCCCCTGGGAGGTGTTTTGGGGAAATCAGGAGAAGGCATTTCTCTAGTAGCACTTCTGGGTGGGTATAGCCAATTATCCAGCTCCTGCTTAGACTCAATCATGTTGGGAGGCACCCAGAATTCAGTGGCTGCAACCACTGGTCCATAGCCTTTCTCTGACTAGGTCCTCAACCCATATGAATAGGGCCCTCTACTAGGGAGTTGTTTTCATTCCCCTTCACTGGCTCCCTCCCCACTCTGTGATGTCTGTGCCCCTGGGTTTTTAACCTGCTCTCTGGCACCTTCCGCTCAAAGATCCAGCCTGGATTCTGCTCACCTTGTCTCAGTCAGGATCTGGCCACACCGCGTCTTTGTCCCACTGGGGACTTGGTGAAGTTGGTTTCCTCTTGGTCTTGTGTGCTGCCTTCCATCTCTCACAGTGGTCAGATGCAGGATGAATACCTACTCAGTTTCTCTCCTCAATCACAGTTTTCAATCTGTCTCCCTTTCCAAACGCAGTCTTGTTTAATCAATAACTTTGTCCTTTCATTTACAGATTATCCTCTGTGTGTGCTTCACTTGTGTTTTTTGGGGTCTCTGTTGTGGAAGTATTGGGTGGGATGTGGCAGCAGTATGGCCAGTTGGGTAAAGCAGGATCACTGCAAAGAGTAAAAAGGAAAAGTGAAATCCCAAGTTCATTGAGACAGGGGTATTGTAGAATGGATATTTTAGTGGAAAAGATGGAATTAACAACTGAGTCAACAAACAGAGTATAAAAAAATGGCTCATACGTCAAGCTTGATGCCCATGTAGGTGGGTTTCAAAGTAAATGAGTGTGATCTGATATAGCATTTGTGCAGCTGTGTCATGTATGTGATATAGTATAACCTGCCATCAGGGAATGCAGGTTAGTTTAGACAAATTCCTTTCCTCCAAGGAATTCACAGTGTATCTGAAAGCCAAGCACATAGATTTGAGAAGAAAATAAATGATATAAGACAGTCTATGATTCATGCCAAGAAGATAAAAAAATTAATAACTCATTGACTTTCTTCCAGGTAATCAGTTCTCAGGGCCTCAGAATTAAAAGGAGACAACTCTAAAATGTATTTAATTCTTTAAAGGGCATTAAGTAAAGCTAAAGTTATTTGTAGTCTGATTTGTTTAGGATTTTCCTAGATTTCTTGGTTTGGTAATATGAAGTAGGAATTCTGGAAAATATATAGAAACTAAGTGAGAAGCTAGACTGTGAATAGAGACAGCAAAACTACATCTAAAAGTAAATTGAATTTAAGACCGTTTAATTTTATTTTATTTTGCTTTTTAGCTATTCTGTGCTAGGTCTCGAAGAGTATAACAGGTTCTATGACCCCTAGGCAGTTCTCCCACTTGGGGGACCCTCCCTGACAATTAAAACAAGTAATTGGTGCCAGTGAACAGTAGCTACAAGGAAGGGCTTACCTGGCCTGGGAAAAGGTTCCAGAGGTCAGACGTGGCCCTGACTAGAGAGATGCCTTAAGAACACATACACAACTTTGGTCACCCCACATATTAGGGGTCAGATTTAAACCATTGCCTGCTGAAGAATGGAGGTCCCTCACTTCCTAGTAACTGAGAATCGATTTTTCTTGAGGAAATGGGCCTGGCAATTGAGTAAATTATGAGCAAACAACTAAGAAATGCAGTTCTTGGCTCCTCAGGGCAATGTTGAAGTCTCAAGGTTCAAGGTACCCTGGTAATCCATATCATGATTAATGTATGTGACTTTATTCAAGCAAGATTAAGAGAGGACCAACCTCCTCATCCTTGTTTTATCTATGAACTCTTCAGCAGAAGTCATATTAAGTCAGCAAATAATTCCTCTGAGCTCCTTCTCCCTCCCCACCCACCCCCTTAACTCCCAAATTCTCAACTTGCCAAACATTCTGAAGCTAAACTCAAAACTGTGATAAAGCCCAGTGGACAGAGAGCGCCATATTCCACTGCCTCTGGAGATGCACCTATCAGTAGCGGAAGAGGTAACCATTTTCTCAACAGAAGCCTAAACATGTGCTGCAGTATTGGGCACCCCAAACTCCCTGACAGCGAGTTTTTACCACCAGGGTGCTGCGCAGAAGTTGCTCTCAAGAGCTGTTATGGACTCTCCGCAAACTTGGATGGGTCAGTGTAGATTTTTTAATATTACTGAAGTAGATTATAGAGGACTTCTAATTGACTCGCATTTCCTAACAATCAGCAGGTAGATCACTAACACCACAAACATTCACTTAGCATGATTTATGTTGAGGCAGGCTGTTAATGGACTGGAATCGGGATTTGAATTTCACATCTGAGTTCGTAGCATGTAATTGGAGTTACACAGGTAGGAGTATCACGCCTACAGATATTTATCAGCCTGGCCACCATGTAGCTGCTTTAACTGCAATCATTTATACTCTAGTGAGGGCTAGCTAATTACACTCTCAAAGATATAGAACTGTGAGAT